AAATGTATTATCTCACTCTTCTGGAGGACAGAATGCTAACATCAACTTATCAGCAGGGCTACTTTCTGTCTAGGGCTCAAGGAGAGAATCTTTTCTTGCCTCTTCCTGCACCTGGCGGATCCAGCTGTTCCTGGCCCTGTGGCCCCATCCCTCTAATTTATGCCTTTTTGTTCACATTGCTTCCTCTCTGTGTTTAAAATCTCCCCTGTGTTTTCCTTATAAGCACACATTGAGTTTAGGGCTCACCTGCCTAATTCAAGATGATTTACTCATCTCAAGAGGGCTAATTTCATCACACCTGTAAAAACTATCTATCCAAATAAGGTAACATTCCCATGTTCTAGGAATTAGCACATAGATATACCCTTTTTTCAGGCCACCATTCAAGATACTACACATACTTTTCAAAAAAAAGTAAAAGATTTTAGTGGTACAAATAATGTTTTAAAATTTGATGGCTACAATGATTCCGCAGGTATTTCAAGTCTACAAAAACACCCTGGCTGGCGTAGTTCAGTGGATTGAGTGGGGGCTGCAAACCAAAGCATTGCAGGTTCGATTCCCAGCCAGGGCACATTCCTGGGTTGCAGGCCATGGCCCCCAGCAACCGCACATTGATGTTTCTTTCTCTCTCTTTCTCTCCCTTCCCTCTCTAAAAATAAATAAATAAATCTTAACAAAAATAAAGTCTACAAAAACGGTTCTAATCCCATCCTGTATTTATGTGTGCATACACTGTTAGACCGTTTTTTAACACTAGAAAGTATTAAACATCTGTAACCATAGCTTTTGTTGTCTACCTACTTATGACAGATTTTAAATAAGAACTCAACTTTTTCAGATTTGAAATAGTTAATGTATAGTAATGGAAAAGACCTAACGTACTCCACAAAAAAATTTCATGCCTTTGAATGTTAATTTTTTTTATACCTGATGACTATTTGCAATCTGGTTATATGATCCCTAAGCTAAATTCGTGACTTCATTTCATAGATGAATTCAAGTATAAAAATATGTTCAATTAATGAAACAGTTTGCTACTTATGCATTACTTGTATTGCTTTGAATTTTGTAATATACATTGGGAGCGTAGAATTTTTAAAAGCAAAATTAGAATATTTATAGGATATTGCTAAAGATTCAGTTATAATCTAAAAATTCAGAGAAGTCAAATGCTCCCGCGTTGAATCTATTTGAATGCAGGCAGCTGATCTAAGAGTAAAACCCAGAACAGCGATGGTTCACCTAGAGCAAATGTTTCCTTGTGGGAAAGGGAGGGTAGGAGCACCTGAGAGCAGGACCCCCGCGCAGCTGTCAAGCCCTGAGAGCACCAGCAGTCTTCACTCTCATTGTTCTCCTGTGGTTAGCAGCAGGCCACCTCATCACCTGTGTGGCTGCTCAGACTTTATCTGTTGCACCAGCAGTCCAGACTTGGGCTTCAGTCAAATTGCTGCAACTACCTGCCAAAGACTACGGTGTTTTTTGACTTTTTAAAAATCGTATTGAGTTTTTCCTATTACCATTTATCCCTTTTTTACCCTCTTCCACCTCCACTCATTCCCTCCCCCTTACAACCACTATATTGTTGTTTGTGTCCATGAGGTTTTACAAATCCGTCCTGGTTTTTGGTTGTTTGGTTGTTTGGTTGTTTGTTTGTTTGTTTGTTTGTTTTTGAGGGGGTGCTGTTGGATGGGTGGTGGAGGAATCAAGCCCCCCCAAAAACAACAACAACAACAAAAAAAACACTAAAGCTCTATCCTTTTTTTTATGAGTGAATATGGCCCTCTTAAAAATTAGTGGCTTTCTTACGATAGGATAAGGACAAAACAGAAGGGGTGTCAACTGTCAGTCACTGCTACAAGGACAATGTAAAAATCAAAGGCTAGTGTTTACCCCTTTAAGAATTCCGTAGAAATGGTTTGACTCTAATTATAAAATAATTTTCATTTTGAATCAAACAGTCATCTTACCTGAAATTAGTATGTGCTAATGTGATAGCTAAGCAAGGGACTAAGAAATAATCTCCAACACTTTTGTATGAGTATGCCTATTAGTAAGCAAATTTTGACTCCAATAGGTTTTTCATAAATTATATAAATGTGTTAATTATTTACTTCAATTGGTTTTCATAAATTATAAAAATGTATTATTTATTCTAATAGGTTTTTCATACATTATAAGTTCATTAATTAATTTAAACTATAATCTCTATAACATGCCAAGATATGCATTAAAGCATGAGAAAATATAATTTCTTATGTATTATTTGCATATCCAAAAGATTGCATTGTGCACCCTCAGAGGTAGAGGTCCTCCACTTCAGAGACCACTGGGACTTCTTAAGCTTTAATATGCATATAATTACCAGGGGATTTTTCTTGAAATGTAGATTCTGATTCAGTAGGTTAAGGGTGGGAATGTTCTGTTGGATTACATGAAAAATATTCTGAGCAACTAAAACCCATATAGAAAGTGCTTAACTTTAACTTCAGCTATTTTACTTAATATTTAGGGATGGCTTGCTACTTTCATTGAACTATATTCAAGGAAAATTACATGGAAGAATTCTAAGAGATTTTACTGCACGATTCTCAAGGGAAAAAATATGTGCAAGAGCTACAGTTTAAAATATACAAGCAATTATATGTATCTGAAAAGATTTTGGTAACTGTAAACATCAAAAAGACATTTTACAATTTTTAGAAGAAATCATGCAATTATTAAACTAGAGACACAAAATTATAACTTTAAGATAATTCTATTATTTTCATTGGGTCATTATGTTTTAATGCAGGTTTAGCATTGTTCCTGAATATAGTACAGAAAGATATTTTTATGTTGTTAATCTTGCTTTGCTGCATCTGTTAAGATATTTTTAGTATACATAAGGAAGAAATTGAAGTATCATTCTGATTTTGAAATTATTCTGGCCTAATTATTCACTTCACTTAAAGAGATGTTTTGCAAAGGAATCATCACACCTGCAGGAAATGTGTAAATCATATTATAAGGCATCTAGAGTTCAGAAATCCCATGGTAATCTGTAAAAATATCTCTATCATCTGTAACTATGAAGTATGAATAATATGAATATTTTGAGAAAAAGTTTAATATTTTCCAAATTTGAATTAGTAAAATAAACAATTCTAGGTATAGAGTTCTTGGTCAACTATTAAGTTATAAGTAGAGATGTTTGAGAGAGGAGTTTAAGTTTTGAGAGTGGTGACTTATCTTACAAATACTCTTTCATCCTGCTGGCAGGTCTTAACGCCTCAGCTTTAATGACTAATCCTATGAGAGATCATACTGACTGTTTTATTTATATAATAATTAAAATTTACTGACTTTATTATCTACTGATGATACAGTCATATTTACATGAGTTTTATATTTAATCTTCACATAAATGATATAAGGTAGGCATTCTTTAAGAATGAGGGTACTGAGATATAAGGAATTAAAGGTATTTTTTCCAACATCACACAACTGGTAAAAATGTATTGGAATGTGAGCCCAAATATTCTCAAAAGCTAGAACTGTTAATTCAACACTCCTCTGCCTTTTTCCTGCCTTCAGACCTAATATTCTTGCCCACAATACTTTAGTTAATTAAAAAATAGTAATATATAATATTTTCCATTATTTTATGTGTTTATTATTTGTATTATTCATTAGCATGTAGGCCCTATTTTACTTATAGCAAAATACACAGAAAACTTTTTAATTATTTTAGAGCAAGTAAATAGATATGTGTGTTGAAAGATTAATGGTTTAAATAGATGTTTTCTTGATTTATTATAAGCAATATTTATGAGTTCTTATACTTCAATTGCTATATTTTGCTTCCTATAATAATCATAGGTTTTAATTATAACATATTTTAAATTTCTGTAAAAGCTAGATAATAACATTTGCACTAAACATTGTTAAATTTATCTTCAAAATGATGTTCTTAAGTTATAGTTGAATGACAAGAATTGTCAGTTCCCAATGTTCTGAACAATGTTTGACTTTGAAATACTTCTAAATTTTTAGAAATATTTTAAAGTATTATTGTCAGAAACTTCCTCTCAAAGATATTTTTAATATCCTGATTATCCTGAGTACCATTTACATCAATAATTTTTATATGTTTATAAGGCCCTCTCCTCATCTATGAATTTCCTTTTTATATCCTCTCTGAGACTTGAATATGAAGATAATAATAACAATTATAATAGCTTACAAAACTTGAGTGGCTGTGATGTATCAGATTCTCAGTGCTTTATATACATTAATTCATATAACCTTCACCACAACACCAAGATCATTATAATTACTCTCACTTCAGTGATGAGGAAATTGCTATATAAAAAGATTAAGAAATGTGCCTATGTTAAGTGGTAGAACTAGAGGAAAATCTTAAACATATGTGTAAACCAAAGCCAAAGCATTAATGGTAGATTAGTACATTTTATAACTTTATTTCTTAAACTTTTGCATTAAAATATTAGAAGTCTTGTACATATTTAAACCTTCCCTCTCTAAAAATAAATAAATAAAATCTTTTTTAAAATTTTGGATTTTTTATTAAAAATAAAAATATTACTGGGAGAAATCAAAGGAATTCTTAATAAAATATAGGTATATACCATGTTGTGTTCAAATTGACATTACATTGCTTGAAATAATAAAGTATTTTAAATGGCATATAAATATTCTTCAAAGTAGAAGCACAAAATACATCATCTCTGATTTTCAGAATTTTTTTACATGGACATAAATAAGAACATTTGTTTTAATATATAAAACATCTAGGTCATAATATTTACTTTTACTTCTAATTTTTTCTCACTACAATCAAATGACTTAATTTTAGTAAATAGTTTCTACCTCATTGCAATTTTTTTCTAACAGGTAGAGCCTATTCTGAATAGCATTGTAGTTTTTACTATCAATTTGATTTTTGAAATCTCACTGTAAAATAAATCCATTCAATTTTCATTTCTCCCATGTTTCAGGTGTGACAGTACTTGAAGGCCCAATTTACGCTGTGGGAGGCCACGATGGCTGGAGCTACCTGAACACGGTGGAGAGGTGGGATCCCCAGAGTCAGCAGTGGACATTTGTAGCCAGTATGTCAATAGCCCGAAGCACAGTTGGTGTGGCAGCATTGAATGGCAAGTAAGTAGATGTATCTTTTCATCTGAAAAAAAAATTGTTTTGAATGAATATTTTTGTAAAGTAACTTTTAATAAGCTGACTCAATGAAAATATGTTTAAATATCTTCAGTTTTTTATTTTTTATTTTTCTTGATTTCAGTGTTTCATTAGTTACACTATCACAGTTGTCCCCCTTCACCCGGCCCTTCCCCCATTTCCACAGTCAATCCCCACACCATTGTCCACGTCCATGGTCCTTCATGTATGTTCTTTGACTATACCGTTCACCTTCCTCCAGTCAGTTCCCATTTTCCCCCTCCCCTCTTACAGCTGTCAGTCTTTTCCATATTCTATGCCTCTGGTTCTATTTTGCCCATTAGTTTATTTTGTTCATTAGATTCCTCTTATTAATGAGATCATGTGATATTTGTCTATCACCAACTGACATATTTCACTAAGTGTAATAGTCTCCAGTTCCATCCATACTGTAAAAGGCAGGGATTCCTTCCCTTTTTTTCCTGCTGCATAGTATTCCACTGTTTAAGTGTACCAGTTTTTCGATCCATCTACTGATGGGCACTTAGGTTGCCTGCTGCACTTGGCCTTTGTAAATAGTGCTGCTATGAACATAGGACTACATAAATTCTTTTGAATTAGTGTTTCAGGATTCTTAGGGTTCATTCCCAGTAGTGGAATCACTGGGTCAAAAGACAGTTCTATCTTTAATTTTTTGAGGGAACTCCATACTGTTTTCCACAGTGGCTACATCAGTTTGCATTCCCACCATGTACTATGGTTCCCTTTTCTCCACATCCTTTCTACCACTTGTTGTTTGTTGATTTATTAATGACAGCCATTTTGGCAGGTGTGAGGTGATATCTCATTGTGGTTTTAATTTGCATCTCTTTGATGGCTAGTGATGCTGAAAAGCTTTTCCTATGTCTCTGGTCCTTCTGTATTTACTCTTGGAGAAATGTCTATTCAGGTCCTTTGCCTATTTTTTAATTGGATTGTATGTTTCTGGTATTAGGTCATATGAGCTTTGTATATCTTTTGGAGATTAAATGTCTGTCCAATATATCATTGGAAAACAGGTTCTCTCATACAGTTGCTTCCCTTTTTATTTTGGTGTTGGTGTCTTTAACCATGCAGAAGCTTTTTAATTTGATTTGTTTATTTTTTTCTTTATTTCCCTTGCCTTAGGAGATATATCAGCAAAATTGTTGAGATATCTATTTGAGATATCTGAAATTTTACTGTTTATGTGTTCTGCTAGAATTTTATGGTATCACAACTTATATTTAAGTCTTTTATCTATTTTGAATGTATTCTGGTGTATGATGTAAGCAGATTCAGTAAAATATTTTTGTTTTCTATTTTAAAGATTTTATTTATTTATTACTAGAGAGAAGGGAAGGGAGGGTGGGAAGAGAGGGACAGAAACAGCAGTGTGTGGTTGTATCTCACATCAGCGTGCCTTTTGTGCCCCCCAGCTGGGAACCTGGCCTGCAACCCAGGCATGTGCCCTGACTGGGGATGGAACCAGCAACCCTTTGGTTCACAGACTGACACTCAATCCACTGAGCCACACCAGCCAGGGCCATTTTCTTAATTTTTTGAAAGTACAATTTACTTCTTTTTCCCAGAAAGCACAAATTGCAAAGTATACATTTTCTTTTCTTGAATAGTACAATATCCTTATGCTGAAGAAAGACTATTACCTGTACTTTACTGTTTCATTTTGTTTTTTTATATACTCTTCATGATCTGTCCTGTCACAGAGCATTTAAGTCTCTTAATTTATCTCAAAGTCAGTATGCTTAATTGTCCTCAAAATCTTACTCTCAAATATTTTGTTAGGAGTTTATTTACTGTTGATATCATTATTTCAAAAATCTATTATTTGAGGAAAGAACAGTAGAGCAGAATCATAGAGAACCAAAGCAAATTGTTACCTGTCAGTTTCATTTTTGTGTTTGGTAAAGCTACATTTCTGCAGCATAATTTTAACTGTCAAACTTTCTACTATCTTTGATATCAAATAACTTCTGTAGACATTTCTTTTCACTGTAGTTAAGAAAAATTGATAATCCTACTCTCATTGCTACCTTGGAAAACCATTCTGTACAAGTGAAAAGGAGTTCAAATTATATACATCTTATTGATCACATAGTAATGGGATGCTATATAAAAAATACTTAGAGATTTTCTTCCAATATCTTCCTAGTTGTACTGAGATCTGTCTGAAGAGGAATTGAAACTTACTACCAACTTCCCATCTTGTGTCATGTGCAAGGTTTCCAAAAGACATTTCTTAGAATTGCTTTTGTGTGAATTAGGTGTGCCCCACTTATAACTCCCCTCTGAATGTGTATTTCTCAAGTTTTGTTATACCTCTTAAAAGCAATCATGAAAATATGTTTTAATTTATGATAATATTGTCATTTTACTTGATAGAGAATATACATATTATTAATAACATTTTACTATCAATATTTATCTTTTTTCTTAAAAGGAATATTTTTCCTTAACAGTTACAGTATTTTTTGAAAACCACTTAATTTGGAAATTAATAATAAAATTTTGCATTCTTCTACATCAAATGAAAGTTTAAAAACTTTCCTGTAGGCATATCTATTTATGGATAGTAAAACTTATAATAACAGAATGAACATTTCTCTTGGATGTTAATGTTTTTAATTCAAAAACAAAAAGGCATGTACTTTAGCCTTTTTATTTTTTCTAATATTTATTTAAAAGTAACTCTCCTCTTTCATTGGTCATATTTTTTTCCCACTTACATTAATGCTTAATGGGTTCATTTCTTGCATTCTTTAGAAAATGAATATCTCATTGGCACACCATATTTTTTCAACAGGCATGAGAAATATCCTTAACCCTTTAGCTCTCTTGCTTATTTGCAACATTATTCTGTAAGAACACCCACACAGAGAGACCATATTAAAGCTATTAATCTTGTTCTAGATTTTTAAAAATTATTGTGCATTACTGCTTACTGAAATGTCTTAATACATCTGTGTTTTGTTATAGAGCTTTTCTAAACACAATTAAAAATAAATAGGATAAAAATCTAATAAATGAAATACTTAATGACCAATTTCTTATAAATCTCACATATTACTATAACTATATTTTCAATCCAATTTCTTCTAATGCCCCTTTTATATTGCTTATACATGACATTTATTATTCAGGTTGTTTTTTCTGTTCCTCATATTTTTTTTGGATAGCTAGAATATTAAATATCATAAGAAATCCTGTTTTACTCTAATATCACTGTTCATACCAAATATCAAAATGTGATAGTGCTTATTATTTATTACCACTTTATTATTCATAGTTTTGGCCTTCTTCTTTTTCTTAAATAAGTCCCTTTAACATTTCATGTAATGGTTTGGTGATGATGAACTCCTTTAGATTTTCCTTGCCTGTGAAGCTCTTTACTGCCCTTCAATTCTAAATGACAGCTTTGCTGGGTAGATCTACCTTAGCTGTAGGTCTCTGCTTTTCATGACTCTGAATATTTCTTGCCAGTCTCTTCAAATCTGCAAAGTTTCTTTTCAGAAATCTTCTGACAGCCTGATGGGAACTGCTCTGTAGGTAACTATCTGCTTTTCTCTTTCTACTCCTAGGATTCTCTCCTTACTTTTAACCTTTGGCATTTAAATTATAATGAGTCTTAGTGTGGTCCTCTTTGCCTCCATATTGTTTGTGACTCTGTGCTACCTGAACTTGCATGTATATTTCCTTCACCAAATCAGAGAAGTATTCTCTCATTATTTTTTCAAATACATTTCCAGTTTCTTGGTCTTTCTCTTCTTGTTCTGGCACCCTTATGATGTGAATGTTTGTATGCTCATAGTCCTTACACTACCCTCAGTTTTTCAGATTTTTTCTTCTTGTTGTTCTGATTGGCTGTTTTTTGTTTCCTTTTTAAGATTATTTATTTATTTATTTATTTATTTATTTATTTATTTTTAGAGAGGGAAGGGAGGGAGAAAGAGAGAGAGAGAGAAACATCAATGTGCGGTTACTGGGGGCCATAGCCTGCAACCCAGGCATGTGCCCTGACTGGGAATCAAACCTGTGATGCTTTGGTTCGCAACCCGTGCTCAGTCCACTGAGCTATGCCAGCCAGGGCTGTTTTTTGTTTCCTTATGTTCCAAATCATTGATTTGATTCTCGCCTTCATCCACTCTATTGTTGATTCTCTGTAAATTGTTCATTTCCATGAGTATATCCTTCATTTCTGCCTGGCTCTTTCTTAAGCTGTTGAGCTACTCACTGAGTTTCTTGAGCATCCTTATATCTAGTGTTTTGAATTATGCATCTGATAGATTGCTCATCTCCATTTTGTTTAGTGCTTTTCCTGCAGTTTTGATCTTTTCTTCCACTTAGGCCATGTTTCTTTGTCTCCTCATTTTGACACCACTCCCTATGTTTGTTTCTGTGTGTAAGGTAGAACCATTATGACTCCCTTTCTTGGTAGCGTGGCCTGAAGGGCCCAGTGGCACAGTCTCCCCTATCACTGATATTGGGTACTCTATGTGTGGCCTCCATGTGGGCTGAGTAGACCCTCCTCTCGTAGTTGAGCCTTGGTTACTTTTAGCAGATCAATGAGAGGGATTCATCCAGGCCAGTCAGCTTCAGGGACTGGCTGTGACCAGGGACAGGTGGTGGTGCTCCAATGTGGTTTGTAGTTGTCTACTGGGTGTGTAGGCTCTGGGTGGTGCGGGTAAAGGTCAGCCACCACCTCTGTTCTGGGTGGGGCCATGCAGCATGAGCTATGAAGAAATCTGAAGATATCTGATACTTGTGCTGAGCTTGGAGTGGGATCCCAGAAGGAGCAAAACTATAATCCAAAGCTGAGTGTTGTTAGTGCTGGGTCTGAGGCTGCTTAGCCAGAGGTAGGAGGGCTGGGGGATGGTCTGTTAATTTAGGTGGGGCAGAGCCTCTGGTAAATACCAAGGCAGGGCAAACAGTATAAGACAGGTTGATGA